GCCACTGGGGGTACTTAGACTAAAAAAGGTTGAAAACCCCTGCCTTAGGGAGTTTTGGTGAGCTGTTGTGAGCTGGGGGGGCTTCACATGAGTAATGGAGGCACATTTGGGCCCCAAGTATTTCAGGTACATTCTAAATACACTTTCTTGTTGAACATATTAAATATAAGTCTAATTCCATTTATTTCTGTCTAGGTACTGACTTTAATATAGAGAGCTTACCTCTCCCTCGTAAAGGCCATCATGACTGGGCCCTTTTCCATGAAGAGTCACCCAAAAACAACTACAGACTTTTCCACAAACCTACCATCACCTTGTTTAACCACACAGCTACCTTTAGTCGCCACTCCCACCTGCCATTGACTACTCAGTACCTGGAAGGCATAGAGGTCCTGAAGTCTTTGCGATACATGATCCCTTTGCAGAAGAAGAACAGCTTGAGGAAAAGGCTAGCACCACTTGTGTATGTGCAGTCTGACTGTGACCCTCCCTCTGACAGGGACAGCTATGTGAGTGAGCTGATGAGCTACATTGAGGTGGACTCCTATGGGGAATGCTTGCATAACCGTGACCTTCCTCAGCACCTCAAAAATCCTGCCTCCATGGATGATGGGAGCTTCTACACAATACTAGCTCAGTACAAATTCATTCTGGCTTTTGAAAATGCAGTCTGTGAGGACTATATCACTGAAAAACTCTGGAGGCCACTAAAATTGGGAGTGGTGCCAGTGTATTTTGGATCCCCTAGCATTGCAGACTGGCTTCCTAGCAATAAGAGTGCAATTTTAGTAACAAGATTTTCACATCCCAGGGAGCTGGCCCAGTACATCAAGGCCCTGGACACAAACGACCAAGAATATGTGGCCTACCTTGAATGGAAACTGAAAGGAGACATTTCCAATAAAAGGCTGCTCACTGCTATGAAGGAACGCAAGTGGGGAGTCCAAGATATCACACAGGACAACTACATTGATGTGTTTGAATGCATGGTGTGTCATAAAGTGTGGGAAAACATCAGAAGGCAAGAAAAGGTACTCAGTGCATTGCCCTTGTGCTTTGATGTTTTAAGTGGTAGCAGGATCTCTTTGGAGGTATATTGACAACCACCACATAAAATATATTGTATTTATAGAATGGATACAGTGCAGGCTTCCCAGTGCTGCCTCAGAAATGCTTCAGCTGGATTAGTTCAGTCCTGGTAGCCTTTCCCCTGAGATGGGATAATTGGGGATTTTCCTAATACACATGGAATTCGATTGAAAAAATGAGCTCATTCCTTGTTTAGCTCTAAACTGTGACACAGTAAAAACAAGCAGCCAAATTGTGAAACAGCCACTGACTTTGGGTGTCAAAAATATTTAGGTGGTCACAAAGAAAAGAAGTACCCCAAATCATCTGACTTTTTAAATATTTTCTTTTTGGTCATTTATCAGTATGGATGGAGTTAGTTTCATGTCTGCTTATGTTCACATTCTTACAGTCTTTCTTGTGATATACGTTTTGCTGTTTTCTCCAATAGTAATCTGAACTGCAGCGTTATATTGCCAACCAGCATGGGGAAACAGAGGAAATATTTAGGAAAATTAATTGTATTTTATAGGGGAGTTGGGAGCGAGTAATTTTCATTACTTGAAGGGGAATAGAAATTGTGCCCTACATATTAAAGTCACCTTTACTAGCAAAGTTCACCGAAATGGGTAATTTCTATGCAGTTTTTCTGAAGAGACAGGATTTTTTTTTGGTGACTCAGTGTTAAGGGTCAGATGCCGGTGTGTTACAGCAAAAGTAGATGCACTGATAGATTTTCAGAATTTAAACAGGGTGGAATAGAATTGCACTTACCTGCCTAAGTGCAATTAGGTGCCCAGTAGCTGGAATAGAATCTGGCCTTTAAAGTCAGAGCTTTGCCATCTTACACGGGCTGAAATTCTGGGTATTCTCCATGCATCTTATCTGAAATCAGCAGGAGATTTGCCATGGTTTCAGTGGGCATAGAACCAGACCTTATAGTAGGAATTAGAATATGTCCCATAAGTGACTCTAAATTGCTACCTAATAGAAGTTTATGCCCCTCAGCTATCATTTCAGTCTAGCCCACCTCTGTAGGAAAAGCTTCCAGATTCTGCCTGATGAGTTTTTTTGGTAGGTTGTGTGAAACAAACCTAGTCCTGGTCCAGTTTCCAGTAACAAGGTTTCCTCTGTCTAAAAGCCAGCCCCAGGACCTCTGCTGTCAAGTATAAGCAGAAAATCTGCCTCCTCTTTCACTCTCCAGGCCAGGGCAAGCGGCATTGTTAGAGTGACACAGGGAAAAGCTCACATTCACTGCTTGTGCCTTGTCCATTCTCTGGCATCACAGAGGTCCTGTATCAGGATGGCAACGTTCCACAGCTGGTACTGCAGAGATGCTCCTTCAGTGAGACAAGCTACGTGTGAATATTTCACTGGGAATTAGGGAGGGGAAGAAAACTTGATCCTCATCAATAATATCACTGCAGCTATCTGTCCTGTTGTCTAGTCCAATTAAACCAGTTTATTTCTTCTGTGTTTCCAGGGATTCTTACCCAGGAGATGGAATGCAGAGGTTAACCACCTGAGCTGCCCCAAGCCTCAGGCTTTCTTGTTCTCCTCTCCAAATGTGCACCGGGCCTCTCTAAGAGATATGTGGATACCAAGCTTTGAACAATCCAAGAAAGAAGCCCAAGCATTGAGGCTACTAGTGGAAAGGAACATGAATTTCTCAGCTCAGGAATTTTGGACGCTTGTATTCAAAGAATAAACAAGTCAAGCTATCAAAGATAGCGAGCTCCACAAAAGAACCTATGAAATATAACTTTTGCAAGCTGCCTTAATATTTGTAGGTCATTAATGAGAAGAGAGAGTCAGATTGTTCTGTAAGATAGATTTTAGTAGGTACAGTACTCAGTACTATACTAAACTACAGATTACCCACTGGGACTTTTAAAATATATATATTTTTTATATTAATTGCCAGTAGTTCTAACTTTTCACTGTTAAGAGCCCAAAGTACTTAAATATGTGCCTCGTCTTGTGCAGCTGTCTGGGTGAAGCTAATAGCACTACTTGCATGCATAGGAGGGGTTGTTGCTTCTGTACCTTGCAGAATTAGGACCTCATATTCCATGATCTGAGCTTCTAGTTCCCTAGGTTGCTGTTCACAGTGTTTTCACCATGCCACAGTTTTGGCTCATGTGCTCTGAGGTTGCTCTGCTTATCATCGGCCCCTTTGGTATATCAGCAGTTTTAGTTCAGACTTGGCAAGCTCAGTCCCCTGATGTGGAGTGCAAACATGGAAAGCATTAGCAGTTGGCATTGGGAAGCCCCATCTGCTAGTGCCCAGGGACTGATTAAGGGAAAACGTGCTGACTAAGGTTTGCCCCCCATCTCCTATTTAAAATATGAGTGCACAAGAATCTTCCTCTCCACCCCAACCCCCACAGAATCATTCCAAAATAAATAGTTTTGTGTAATTTCTGATAATATACTTTCCTTCATTAAAACCACGGTAGTAACACACAGCTGAATGGCTGTGATGCTTGGATGAAGCAGGGACTAAAGTAAGGGCTTGGTCCCACTGCAAAGACTAGGTTTGGTACTCATGCTGGCTCAGACCCTGCCATCCATTTTTAATTGGAGCTCTCCATTCCAGTCCAAGGGCAATTCTTCTTAAAAGTGGTAGTACAACATGACTTATGTCTGGTTTTGCTCAGCCCAGTGGGGCAACTCACATGGGTAAGGGTTACTCAAGTGATTAAGATTTAAAGATTTACAGGATTAGGCCTCAGAGATAATGGCTGAAATATATTACAGTTTGGTGCTGTTGAGAAGTTGGCTTTTTCCTCATCTGACAATTAAAATACAGCCACCCCAGACAGCTCACCAACTTCTAAGAATAATATGATGTTAGGTTATTACATAAAAGGGCAAGAGTGGGAAGGTAGGTAATGAATAGTTTTGCAAAACAAAGTGCCAAAATGTTCAGGCCACAGAATCTGCTCACTTTGAAGTCAGTTGGATTCCAGATATCTTGTATGAATAACTTGTGATTATTTTCTAGAATAGCAAGAGAAAGGGCAGCTTTATGGCTTAAAAATATAGATTTGGTCTTACTGGGCATGCCTACATGTGCATTAATGTACCTTTTCTAATATGCATGAAATTTAGTACATCCAATGTGAGGCACTAAATTAATGTGCATTAGGCTGCGCTAAGGCACACTAGCACATTTGAACACTTTTTTTAGTGACACTTGATGTGCAATAGACTATTTTACTGCACATTAGCATAACGTCACAGGTTTTTACATGACATTTTAATGCACAGTAAAATAGTCTACTGCGCATTAAAGTGCACAGGTAGACGCATCCAGTGAGGTTGTTAAATTATTCCAATCAGCAGCACATTTAAGCATGTGCTTAATTTTAGGCAAGTGAGTAATGCTATAGAAGTCACTTCCTTAAAGTTACTCATGTGCTTTGTTAGCTTGCAACAATGTCAATTTAACAACAATTTAATAAGCTCTTTATTCACAGGTTTTTAATGTACGTAATAAAGAAACCCCATTTTCAGGAAAGATACTTAAGCATATGGTTAAGGGCTTTTCTAAGACAGGAACTAAGATTGAACCAATCTTTAATCCAGGAAGCAACCTCTGTAGATATCTCTTGCCTTTCAATCTGTTGTCCTGCATTAGTATTCTTTCCATCAGGTTGGCATAGGACATCCATACCAATATGAGTTAATGTTGTGATCAGTTTTTCCGTTAGTTTTATCAAGCACTTTAGTAAACATCTGGAGCCATAGTTTTAAAATTACTCCAGATCTGAAACTGGGATCAGATTTTCAAAAATGAAAACAAGGGAGTTGAGGCATGTAGTTCTGAAAGCAGGTTGCATCAGTGGTGGAACCATAGAAACATGGCAGGTTTGGAGAACCCTCCACATATTAAAGACCCCACATATTAAAGATTTCTTAGCAGGTGGGCAAACATTATTCTCCTAATTCAACTTGGAGGGTGTGGGGGATTGGGGAAGAAGTCCCAAATTTAGCAGATTAAAGCACTTTTATCTGTAGGCTGGTATGTGGATTTTGTAAGTTGGAAAGTGACCATCTTAGAGACAGGCCTATGTCTCTTGGCTATCTGTCTCCAACACCAGGCAGTAACAGATGCTTCAAAGGAAGGTTAAAAACACTTAACTAACAACCTGCTTGGAAAGTGAAAAAACAGAAACATTGTTCAGGCAGCTAGTGACTGGCTTGACACCTGTTAGTTTAGTGCCTTGAACACAAGGTGCACATCTAGACAAGCGTGCGCGTGTCTGTTGTGGCATCTCAAAGCAGTTTGAGATGCTGCAAGAGGCACACTGGGAAAAAATGTTCCCCGTGCTGCATATTTGCAGCGTGGGCTCTAAATTCGATACGTAGAAATCTAGATATAAAAAAAACATGGAAAAAAAGCAGGCCAAGGTATGTTTCTGTAGTGTGCCCTAAGGCAGTGGCGTACCGATGGGGGGTGGGAGGGGGGCATGGCCCCTGGGTGTTGGCTGGGGGGGTGCCAGCCGGAGTGGCTGGGGCACCTCCTGCATTTTGTGTGTGGTCCACCCTCCTGCCCAGCGGCTTGTATCTTTCTTTGGCTGTTCCGGCCGGAAATTCTGGCTGCTGCCCCTCCCCCACGACTGGAGTGCCATGCTGCTAATTCCCCTGTTGATGTGCCATGGGGCAGGAGGTGGAGCCCCACACAGGCTGATTTGCTTTGGGTCCTGCACTCTGATCAGATTGTTCCTGGGGCAGGGGCGCAAATGCCAGCATTGGCCCCCGGGTGCCGGAGACCCATGGTACGCCACTGCCAGAGTCTGAGTCCTCCAAAGACATGCTCTGGCATCTCGCCAGAGTGTCTCTATAGTTGTCCCCTTCCCCTGCTACCCTAGCACACTGCCTCAGCATGCTGGGGCAAATAGAAGTGGGGCAAGGCTGCAGTGTGACCTGGACCCAGGGGCTGTCCTAGGTAATTAGGATTGTGGGGGTGGGGATGGGGATTGTGTGTGGGAGGACTGCATGAGTGCGGGGTGGGTCCCCTGCCTACCCCCTGCACAGTGCACAGCCCCCCTACTGCAGAAGCAGCAGTAGCAGCAGGCACCAGGTGCTCAGGGCCCACTGCTGGCAGAGACCCCTGCAGCGTCGCATGGCTCCAGCCACCTCAGACCCAGTGCCGCCTATGCTGTATGTCATGGGCCCAGCCTGGCCTGGGGGTGTGCACCTTTGGGTAGCACTGGGCCACTCTGGCTGTCACCTGGGGTCCCAGCATTGCTTGCAGGAGCCATGTATTAGGCCAGGTCCTGTCTTCAAGTGCTCTGTACGCCATTGGGACAGGCCAACTCCATGGCCCAGCACAATGCATGGACCCTGCGTACAGTGCTTGGACCCCAGGTGACAGCCAGAGTGGCCTGGGGCTGCACTGCGCTGAGGGGGGCAGACCCTGAGTGCCAGACAGCTCCTGCTGCAGGAGGGCTGTTCACCCTGTGGGGGGCAGGCAGGGGACCCACCTCTCCAAAGCGGCCCCCCCTCACCCACATGATCCCCTTGCAGCCGCAAAACCCCCAACAATCTGCCCTCAAACCCCACACCCCCAAACCACCCCCACAAACTCCTCACTGCTATACTCAGCCACAAACCCCAATCCCCAACACAAGCCCCATATCCCTCACAAACCTCACCCCCACAAACTCTACACTCCCCAACCCCCTCACAAACCCCACACCCACCCCTCCCCCCCTAAACCCCACATCCC